TTCCGGGGAAGCTTGCGGCAGTACCGCCCGCTGGCGGACAACAACGGGTTGCTTTGCTAGAAGGTGCACTGAGCCGCGCTGAGGAGGGAAACCCAGGACGGCACCAGTTTATTGCTGAGATCGCTAGTAGTGCCAAGTGGTTCTTACACATTATATATGTTATTTTGTGGGGTTTTTTTCCCCTCAAAGAAATCATGTTCTTATGTGCCAAAAGCTGCATTTTTTCCAGAGGCCTCACTACCATCTCAAAGTCTGGTCCGTTTTTATTTGGAGAAGTCATGCTGCCTGTGCATAGGAAAACATCGTGGACCCCTGGGGTCTCAAAGTTTTAGTTATTTTTAAGATATTACTATATTATTATTAGCAGTAGTTTACAAAATTTTAGTTATTGCTGCCCATATTGATGTCAACAGAACTATACATAAGTAATTTTTATCAACACCAAGTTTCCATACTGTTTGCTAAGGAAGGTACTGCAAAATCCCGGCTCATTCGTTAGTGAGATGGCAGAACTTCCTTTTTCAGGGTTGGATGACACCTCCACAGCTTGTTCAGGAAGGCCAAATGTGAGCTTATTTCTCAGAACCTGTATATCCTAGCAGAAAACAGTACGAATTCTAGGCAGAAAACACTAGGCAGCAGCAAACATAATTAATTAGCTACAGAAAAGACAAAACTTCTAGTCTTAGGGAATTCAATGCCACATTTGAGAATCTGCACTTTTGGTCTTGACCAGGGAAGATGCCTGGTACAAAGGGAATTCTGGCAGAAGCATGATCTAAGCTCCGCGGCAGAGAGCAGGAGTTATTCCTCAGGTCCTCCCCATCAGGTGTCACCAAAGAAAACTGAGAAGGAATTTTACTCATGGTGTGTACTGTGTCATCCCACCCTCTGCACAATTACATGGAGGATTAAAGAAGCGAACAGCAAAACATAGCCCCAGATAGCGCATCTATTGCTATTTCTTGCTTCCACACATACAGTGGAAACTACACTGACACACATTTAAGGCAGTGCAATCAGTCTTCTGAAATGAAAAAAAAAAAAAAAAAAAAAAGGCAAAAACATGTAGGTGAAAGAATTCTCCTGTTGCATGGCATTGAAGCAGATTTTGATACAAAAAAAGAATTTGCCATTTCTGTGAATAAGACGACTATTCACAGCTTCAGAGTTTGGCAGGATGAAAGTTTCATACACAATTAAATCTAATTCATAAGAAAAGATCTAACATGGGGCAGACGTTAGCAATTTCTCGTACTTTCTTTGAGATCATTGCATACTGGCTGCCATTAGGAAACAGGATAGCAAAATAGATGCTCTGCTGGTCTGACTCACCAAATTAATTCCTTTTTCTCAAAGGACTAATCAAGGTTAAAATGATTTTGTGAATTGTCACCAGGGAAAAAGAACCTAGCTTCACTTCTGGGTGTAAGGGTGAATTTGTGCAAAATGCAACTAGAAAAAAAAAAAAGCCTTTCAATGCAAATTGAACATTTAATAAATAAATCAGTAAATTAAAATGAATGTTGATGGCAATTTTTCTTTAGAGAATTATTTTCTCACACAGAACTTGCTCATTAACACAAAAAAACACTCTAAATAAAAAAGTAAACTATAGATACCTGAGAAATTTGAAAAAAGCCTTGTATAGGTAGAGAACCTATTCTTGAGCAACCATTGCTGAGTTTCCTGGATTGTGGCTGAAGGATGAAGCTGCTGTAAGAAACAAGATTGGATATGATAATTTGGATATTAAAAAAAACCCAAACCCCAAAACCATTAAAAAACCTCCCTCAGTTAAACACCTCAAGAATACCTACTAGTATTGAGGTATGTACAAATCAAATGTTCTGACACAAATATACAAATGTAGCCATGATCAATACCAGAAAGCAAACACTCACATCTCCAGACCCTTGAGAGGTTCCATCTCCTTGATGATTTGGGGAGGAAGAATTGCTACAGAGAGGGGAAAAAAAAAAAAAAGTATTACTAGAATCTTAATACGCAAAATATTTAGGCATTGCTGAAAAATAACTTGAAATTCCCGAAACAATAAATATCACTGTTGAAAGACAAATTAAACACTGCATAGAGTGAAACTTAAGTTAAACTCAAGAGAAAGATCATCACACATCAATATGCAAGTCATCTGGTTCCAATTCTGTGTATTCTTTATCAACTGGAGAAGCAGCTTGACTTAACACAGGAGGTTATACGGCCACTTATCTGTCTTAAAGGGTGACTGATGAAGAGGTAGTAAAATGCAAGGCCAACAAAATAGACAATACTACTGTAAATTATTCCTTGATCACCCAAGTTTCATTACAGTAGTTTAATCAACGCCTCAATACAAAATGTTTCTACCAATACAATTTCTGTTGAAAAGCTTATAAAGATTATTGCTGTTTTTTTTTCTTGCTAATTATTTTAACTGTGTATGAAGGGAACGAAGACTGTTCTTACTGAAAAAAGCTAAATAGCTTCCAACTCTAAAATAAATATATAGGTCAAAACAATTTCTCATTCCCCAGTGGAACCAGAAAACAGTTGCAAACTCCTGGATTTACTCGGAAAACACTCTTGAATAAGCCTGATTTTAAAATGTTATCTTTAATTAGGGTACAGAAAAGAAACCTACCTGTCTGGGACACTGTAGGTATTATGTTGAGCAGAGGTAAAAGCTGGAGCAGGAGTAGGACTGTTGTTTACAAATGTTGTAGGAGTATCAGGCCATGGTGAGCACTGAAGATAAAGAATTGAAACTTAAGTGTCTCTTGACAATACATTTTTTTACTCTGATGCACAGTTCTTTGACTTAAAGCCAGGTTTTTTTCCACAGAGAATTTTGATTTGTAATTCCAAATAAAGATTCCCTCCATCCCACACACTACATGCAGATACTGCAGGTAAAAATCAGTTTTCTTTTATCTTGTTCTTTCAAGGTGACTCCTATTTATACTGTCTTCTGTTAACAAAGTGAAGGTATTAGTGGTGCAACTGACAGAAGACCAGTTTAAACCAAACCAACCAACCCACCCCAAGCCATCTCCTGGAAAAACTTCTTTCATCCTAAAAGGGATGGAGGGGCTGTTTAAACAAACTACCAGTATCGTGACTTGACAGCAGGCATTCAGCAACAGTAAGTAAAACTATGAAGCTAGATTTCACCTTGTGGTTAAATTTAATGTATCTGCTCTGACAGCAATTAAATACAAATGGAATTTTCAGTAGAAATTTTGTGAATTGAAATTTTTTATTCATTTACTGCAGGACTAAAATGATGCTTACATGTACTGCCTTCTCTAAGCTGCTTGGTAAACTGCAATTTTTATACACAAATTTAAGTCATCACAAGTATATGATGAGCCAGCTGTCCAATTTAGTCAGTCTTTTTTGGATATTTTTTAAACCACCATGATAAAAGCCCTTCAAAATGAGACTAGCTTTTAGTGTTTTCAATACCATTGCAAATTCAGTATTTTAAAGAAAAATAAAAAACAAACAGATTTTGGTATGTTCAAAGACAAACAAACAGGATTAAAACAAGCAAATTGCCCAAGATAAAGTAAGCTAAGACCATGCCTGTTAAAACAACAAAGATTTCTGATATATTTATCATGCAACAGCTAAATACCCTGTAAGGAAATTTCCAGAGTTATATCATAGCCTTGCGGGGCAGGGGGGGGAACAAGTATGACCTAATATTAATGGAAACATGTTTCAACAATTTTGTGTTGAAAGACCCTTTCACTATCTGGGGGAAGCAGTAAATAAGTGCAATACCAGCTGCAATGTTCTGTGAAACAGTTAACAACGTTTCTGTGCTCGACTCCAGTCTTCACTCGTCAAGAGTAAGACTGCAAGTTCCCCAGCATGGTGCATACAATTTAAAAAAATTAATCTTGCATACCAATAGCTTAAAAATTAGGAAATTTGTCACCTGTCCGAGATCAGATTCAAATCAGCATTTTTGCTAGCCACTGCGTACACAGTGCCTTTGATTACATAGTCAAAACCACCCTTTAGACTACAAATAGTGCCATTCACACAAAGCATGTTCTTCTATGACCTTCTAGTGTTACCCACTCTTCCTCCTGTTCTGTATATTCCCATCTGTTGTTTCTCTTCAAGCTCATTTTAATGTTAATCTCAAAGATGTTATATTACAACAGGTAGTTAAAATAGGCCTTCATTCCCTAATTGTGGTCCAAAGCCATAATTTTAAAATAAAAGCTCAACATAACAATGGTAGCTTCATTCTTCTGAAATATTTTGGAAGTGCAATTCATTTTCTTTAATCTTCTGACATTCTCTCCCTAAATTTTAATGCAAGATGTTTATCTGGACACACAGATGCAAGCTGTACATCCTTAGCCACTATTTCACTATTTCACTACAAGATTCTGTTTGACATGTATTTAAATTCAGGGGCAGGGAAGAATGCGCTGGTGTCAGAGATCAGCTTTTGAGCCATTCTGAAGGCATGGACTGCAGTTAATGTTTCTGTCCTTCAGACTCAGCTGAAGTTGTTCAGAACCAAACTCTGAGTTGAAATGCAGGAAGAAGCACATTTGAAATATTTAGAAAAAGGAAATCCCAACCCAAAGCAAGTAGCCTTTCTTCTCATATAAACACACTTTCCTACCTTGTCTCCTTTCCAGCAAAAATGTTACTAGCTACCCACTGAGACTGAATCAGTTGGGGGGAGGGGGGGGGAGGAAGTAGTAATAATTGTAATACTACTGCGACATGCCCAGTGGCTCAGTTCTTTCTTCTGTTTTCTAGGTTGTGGAGGGAAAAATGAGTATTTGAGCACTGAGATACTTATTTCTGAAAGGTTCAAGGAACAAGAAAGCCTAGCATTAAAAAAAAAAACAAACCACCAAAAAAACCCCCCAAAAAACCCAAAAGGCTACAGCATATATTCTTCAAGCATCTTCTAGCAATTAACCCAAGCTGCTTATGCTTTTGGTACCACTCACATGCACAACTGTCCCACCCATTATGCTCAGAAACAGGATTAGACAAATTCCTGGGCATCAAATCCATTAACACTAAAAACATTAAGCGGGGACGTGCTTTCTAACATCCTGCATGACCATTCTGGACGCTGAGGGGTTACGAGGGGAATGGATCACAGAAAGTGGCAAGGCTTCCCTCCTGCAGCTTTTCTTGAAACAGCATCTGCAATTGCCACTGCCTGGGACAGAGCACTGGACTTCACAGATGTGTGGTCTGATCAATCGGGATATTTCTTATATGCTTAAGCCCAAAACTGAGTTAACCAAAGGACATTGAGCAAGCTAATGATACTAATACAGAAGTCCCCGGCCATTAGATATAAACTTAAAAGAAAAATGTTACTCTGTCACAAGGAAGCATCCAACTCTGTAAAAAGCCACCAGAGAACAAAAAAGATCGGCACTGTATCTTTACCTGTAATGAACAATGAATACATACTGGTGAAGTTTCAAAGAAGTAGTTTCTGAGGTCTCAAGACTAACTGCCCTCCATTACTAGTCCACTGATACAACACTACTGATACATCTGCACTCTGGAAATTATGCCTTAATTTCCAAACACTGATTAATTCTTGAGAAGGAGAAAACTATTTTGGTTTCAGACCTTTAACATCCTTCTGTATAGGACATGAATGACGTTATAAAGCGTTGTCCGACAGTTTTATTGAGTTAAAAAGGAAGACAGGAAATCTTTTTAAGTGTGACTTTTCAGACTCAGAGTATTTAGCATTTAAACTCAGAACATTCCTAACTTCTGAAGAATTGCAAAATCTCAAGTTATTCTAAGATACTGTTTAATGTCATTCTCTTCCTGCTTCCAATCTACCTGAATCTGCCCAAATTCATGCTTTACCAGAGAGTAAAACTGAACTTTGGCAAAGAACTCCATACTATATTCAAATACCAAATCAACATGAAAACAAAACGTTTGTTCTCCAAATTAGGCTTACTATACTTGGGCACACAGCAGCATTAGAGAACAGGGCAACAATTTTATTATACATGGGACGTAGCTTTTTCAATGAACCTATAAAATACCAGGTTCTTGCCCCAAACAACTGCAGCTGTTGTTGGCGAAAGCAAAAAAACTTCTGTTCATATAGACTTAATTACTCTGAATACAGAAGTAAAGAATTCCCAAAATGTGAAGTCTCCCACATTACATATCCTGTATGCTACTGATACTGCTATATGAAGTATAGATAGATATAAGGAGAAAAAAATTGAAGAAATACTGTATGCTTATGTTACTACATTAGTTCTGCTCCAGCTCCGCTTTCTGACTCTCATAGCCTCTAGAAGGTTTTATATTCTAAATTTAAGTCACTCACAGAAAGTATTTAACTTCTGCACCCATCTTTCACATCCGAAACTCTATGTTCCAATTTATTCCAAGGTCTATACCTGGAGGTCTTCTAACTTCCATGTGCCCTATGATCAGCTCTATCTGCAAAAAATGTCCATTTAACCAAGTTTAATCAAATTGTAGCTTTATATATTCTAACTTGTGACGTATAATATAATATATACTAATATAAACATCAACCAAGATACTGCAGACAGGAAAAAAAGTGCAAAGATCCAATTATCACAATACAAATGTACCTGCTTTTTCAAATTCAAAGCAGGGGAAAGAATCTGGTGTGATTTTTTTCTCTTCTTCCTTAGATAAGCTCTAGCTTCTATGTATTCGGAAGAGAGGAAAAAATAAAGTGCGTCCTTCATAAAATGGCCCCTGGATGAAGGTCGCCTGTACATAAACGTCCACTCTGAGGTCCAGAAGGCAACGTTAAGTTCATAGCCTTTTATCTCCACAGAACAAGCCAATGCTCCATAGCATGAGAAAGAGTCTCAACAAGTAGTTTACCTATGCATCTGTCTGTCTGGAAAATACTGAGATAAATACAGCAGAAATTGCAGTGAATGCACCGGATTTTGAAACATCAGATGAAAAAAAAAAGGAGTAATGGAAAAGCATATCTAGATGGCATTCTTACGAAAATCAATGAGAAGAAAAAGATGGGTGATGGTAATTAGGAAAAAATCTCTGGTTCTTGGGAAAGGATAGGAGAAGAGCAGAGCAGAATGACCACTCAGAAAACAAGCTTTACCAAACTCTTTGTATTATGTTAGAATCCCATACAAATTAAATTGGAAAGAAAAGATACTAGATTCAATGTTTCCTGAAGGAAGCACAGTAAGAAACCAATCTGTCCAAATCAGATTGTGGCTGAGCTGGAAAAAATTGTATGGGGGAGTGGGGGGAGAGAAAAAATTAGAAATATCCAGCAAATAGAACAGCAGAAACTTGAAGGGGCAAAATGAAAAAGCCAACATACACAGTGAGATGCAAAAAGCAAGGAACAAAAAAGACAGCCTATGTTAGAGGTGTAGGAGGAAGATGATAATACTCAGCTTTAAAAAGGAAGAAAACTATAGATTGGATCAACCTAAATTTCTGGAATTCAAGAAAAGATAACAGAAAACTATTTCTAGGCATCTAGGAAACAGCACTGGCTAAATAACAGCCAGCACTCTCGACTTCATCAAGAAAAATACACTCCAAACAATCCTGTTTGCCTTCTGTAATGGAACCACAGTTCCTAGGACATGCGAAGTACAAGATCCATTGTATATAAAGACATAGTATGTAAAACAGTGTCAATTCTCATACTTAAACGTAGGGAAACAGGTCTTCCATTTTTGTGTCTAAGCCCCTCTGTGACAACTGTACTGCACATACGGTACATTTCATATGCGCAAATGAGGTAAGTCTGGTAACGGCCAAACCTTCTGATTTAGTGGATGGCTACATTTGGGAAGACAGATTTGCAAGGACAGAACTGCTCTAAGTAGGAACATGCATCACCCCTTGTCCATAATTACAAGGCCCACAAGAATAACCCTGTCTGGTAACAAGAGAAAAAGGCTGATGAGTTGGCCTTCAAGCTGTAGATCAGACATTCCTTTGCTAGACCAAGCAAACAAGTTGTACACTCAACTTATATAGTTAAAAACAGTATTTAAAGAGTGTATAGTGATTACCAAGGTTTCTCTATGAATACAGAAAAAAGTGTTTCATGGTATTTTTCACGAGCTTGGTGATTTCTAATAATCAATATGATAAAAATCTTTGCCATGATGGAACAGGTTATATGTTAAATCTGCAGATGATACCAAGTTAGCAAGGCTGAGAGCATTTCATCCTACAGGAATAAAATTCAAAATGGTCTTGACAAACTGACAAAGTGATCTCAAGATAGCATTTTATTAAGGGGAAATGCAAAACAGGAATAGTCAGCTGCACAATTAAGAGAATCGGAAAGCTGTCCATAGCTGTTATTCCTAAATAGTCTGTGGGTCATCCTTCATCCCAAGCAAGAAGTGAAGAAATAAACACACACACACACACACGCTATCCTTTGTGTGCTTTGTGAAAGGCATTAGAAGTCCAGTACCACCTGTCCTACCTCAATTTTTCTTCACTACAATTAAGGTAATGCTCCCATTCATAGAAGATTAGTATTTCAGGAGATTGTTAAGAACAGCTTAGACAACTTTCAGATATCATTTGGCTACCGTTTGTCCTACTCTGGACAAGGAATTTGTCATATCTTTTAAAAATACCTTTTCCTATTGTTCTTCCTATAAGCAACAATCATTCTATGATGTACTTATAACAACAGAAAGAGAAGAGAGCGCAGGGGAGTAGAAATCCCTCCAAGGACCAGCTTCAAAAGACGCTTCAGACGTGTTTTATAAGTGAAAGTGATAAAATCCTGTTTTCTCCTGTCTGTACCTCCCCCTGCCCCATCTGGAACAAATAAAAGAATGTCTGCACTGCCAAAGAATCCTAAAGGTGCATCTTAAAAGGAAGAAAAAAAACAACAACCAAGAACAGTAGAAGGCAGATTCAGACAGCTCAGTGCTTACAATAGTTTCGGGGGGGCAAAAAAAAAAAAAAAAAACCCCCCAAAAAACCAATCGGGTTTAATAAACTTTTAAAATATTTTAGATTAATTTGGAAGAAGGCCACATTGTGTAAAGCCTGGTTAGTTTGGGCCTTTCCAATTCCACGCCATATAAACAAACCCATTTAAACTGCATTTGTTAGAAGGAATGTTTTTTTAAAAAAAAAAAAAAAAATCCCCCAAAGAACCCATCTGGCTTAATATGACTTGCTTCCTCCCACCCAGTTACATGGTTTATAAACAACAAGAGGCATACACTGAACTATTTTATAACCTAAACCTTATACATCACTTTTACAGATCATAAATACAAACTAAATTATGTCTGAGGGACAAGACAGACAGTCATTGCCTAATTGCTGCTGGGAAAGAGCTGTCAGCACAATATGCCTGCTCAAAGAACAGTCAAATAATTGTCTTCCACAGTCACATTATTAATTGACTTTTAAACTTGCCAAATGGAAGATGCAGCATTGTTTCTCATCTGAAAAACATACGGTCACAATGATATTCACCTTGGAAACAGCAATTAAGAAATCTAAAATGCTAACCCTTGACAGGAAGGGTGTGCAGGACATATGCTAGATTGGTTTGGGGAGGCAGATACAGAGTTAGCGTACACATGTCATGAAGCTGTGCTGACTCTTCTGAACCGCATTAAACCTGCTTGGAGCGCAATATGTAGATGGCTAAAGGAAAAATCAGTAACTAACGATCAACCAGCTGCAACGCTACATGGCATTTTAAAAATACTGATGCATATGGAAACTTATATTGAGTGAAAGTACAAATACGGAATGAAACACTGAATTTCACTGTTCTTACTTCCACTAATTACACAGATACAGGAAAGCAAAAAGCTATTTCATTTAAAGTTGCATAAACGGAAAGCTCTTGACTTTTAAAAGTTAACACAGTCCCTCTGCAACAGTTTAAGTGTTAGATTTAGGAAGGATTCCTTTGCTGAAAACAAACATGGAGTAATTGGTATACATAAAAGTGAATAAAATTAAGACACAGTAATCAAAATATTTTTACTTTAGATAATGGAAGTTTCTCCTATATCTAACACTGCACAAGGTATCTTGCACAATGAAAAGGTAAGCAGAAGTCCCTTACACTGCCTCGCTTTGCCAGAGAATCACCGTAGTCTGCTGGCAAAGTCCGCTTGCTGGACTTTTTCTGCTCATGTTCAACTGCATCTTCAATTATAGGCTCAAGCCTCATCTGGACAAACACCAAAGATTTGGATCAATTTCTTTTCATTATACAGTGAGGAAAGATCTAAAAGCCTTTTAAAAACTTCTGAAATGTTTAGAAAACTGCATAAAACTCACTGATGTTTAAATAAAAAGAAAATGCAAAAACCTTCTGAGGCTCTGGCCTTAAATTCAGTAATCTCCAAAAAATATACTTTGAAGCTCAAACTTGGCAGATAATTACATTCTAGATTCCCCCCTCTTTTTTTTTTTTTGTTTGTTTTTCAACTGCCAGGATTTTAGATCTGTACCAAAAGACTTGCTCTAGGGTCCAGTACAGTCAGTCAAATAGTGTTCAATCTCAGTGTGTTTTATTACAAGCATCTATTGAGTATCTAAATGAAAGTTTAACTACACACAATCTTAAAATTTTATGTTGCTGTTCACTGGACAAGTCTGTCAAATAAAAAGCTTCTATTTGTGTAGAACGAATTCTTCCCCAACCCTTCCAAGACTGCAGCTAAGTTATATGCTGTATCTATATATTTTCTCCTCAGTAAGCAGATGCAATTCTCTTTTGTTACCTCTGTAAGAACTGTGGTGTCATATGAAGGCTGATACTTTTCTTTTTCATGTGCAGTTCGCTTTTCCATCTTCTCTCTGTCTGTTTTCTGTTTCCTGTCTGCTCCTTTTGGCTAAAAATGAACAGTTACATGAACAAGAAAGCAGGTGGAAAACAGTTTTATAATTGAAATCTGATCTCAGAAGTCAAGCAGTATTATAAAGATGTCCCCCATCTTTATGAGAGCTTCTGAGAGACTTATTAAGGATCTGTTTCCTACTATTACCTTAAAAACTTTGATTTGACAACTGGCTGAATGCAGATGATCTGTATATTCTCCATTTTCAGTCTGTTTAAAAGTGTCGACCTGAATCCTAAAAGGAACTCCTTTCTCTCCTCCATGTTTACGAGGGGTAAATTCAGTGCTGATACAATGTACCTGAAAAAAAACCAACCACCAAACAAGAAGGACCCTCAGAAGCATTCTAGACATGAATTTTACTATGTGTTACCAACACCATATACATTTTCTAAAGGACAAGTAACAAATTACTTAGCCTATCTGAGGACCGAGCTGCATCACTAACGTTTTGTTCATGTAACGTTTTTCATGCCCACGTGCAAATGAAGCCAAAAACATTATATTTGAGCTGACAGGGAAGAGTGGAAACAAGTGTGTCACCAAAATCTCTCCAAAAAGCAGAAGTCATTATAGATTCTTATTAAATAAGAACTTGCTGGATCTTAAGAAAAACGTATGTGGATGACAACTGCATCTATCACGAATACAGCAAAAAGCTTTTCAAGCTAAAGCTAGAATAAACTTCAGAGTTACTTGTAATAAATATTACCAAAGCTATAGAAGGTCACTGACTGGAAGAGTTTTTAATCTCATGTGAAATGAGCGTATTTTCAAATATGCCCAACTTCCTATAAGTCAGCAGACTTCTTAATCCGTAAGTAATTGCCTGAAGTGCTTCATCAGCCTGAAGACTGGGTTTATAAGCTAGAAATACCCTTAAAAGATATCTAAGGAGAAAATCTGTAACAGAAAGTGTTATGATGAACCTCACTGGACAGTGCTCCCCATTTTTTTTGCTTCTTTATGGAATCTGAAGCGAGCCAAACACCATGGACAATAGCATACCCTGCACTCTCAATGACTACAATGCTATCTTTTTATTTCCTATGGCCATCAGCAACAGAGAACCATAAACTGGAAACTGAAGCTGTAAGTGTAATGAGTGCCGCTATGCTGTAGCCTTTAGAATAAGTGAACTATACTTGCATAATAAGAATCAGTTCCTTTTTCAGTCCGTCTGTTATCACTTTCTCTAACAAAGTGCATAAACAAAAATACTCAATAGGTTATCTCACACTTCTTCAAGGAGAATACGTTTTCATACTTGTGTAATTCTTACTAGAAAAAAATGTCTTCAAATGTCAGTTACTTTACTGACAATGTGGAATTTAACCTATTTTGGCAGCCTCAGTAAGAAACGCTGCTACCTCAAACTTTATACCTTTTCTTCATAATAAAAACAGATCTGAGACAAAAGTAAGCTAAAAATTCCAATGCAAAACTGAACATTCTATCTAAATAATTTCCAAAGAAAGCATGTTCAATTGCCCTGAATATCAAATACATAAATAATAAAAATCCTACTACAAGGAAGCTTACTGACATAGTAGGAAACATCTTTGGATGTCTGATTTAGAACTCTCTTTGTAGCACATTAATTTTCATTTTGTATCCTCAAGCCAAGCCTCTGCTAAAGCTCATCTCTAGGAGAGTAGGCCTCTCAACTAAAAAAAAAAAAAAAGCAGTAGTAAAATAACGACAGTTATTCAGAGGGATATAAATTAATTCTACTACTTCATATAACTAGATATCCTAACCATGGCAGCTTTCTGCAAAGAGCTTTTTGAAAGCCTTTTATTTAAATTGTTTTTAAAAGATGCTTTTATAAATTCAAATCAAGCTGAAAAACCTAACTAGGAACCCTTGTAGAACTAACAGTTGCTATAAACCTGTGGTTTTTTATAAAGCTGGTATTTCACGTCTATCCCACAAATAAGAAACCAAGAAGCTTCATAGTACAAGTACACTATTCTCCGTGACCTGAAAGGCACCAAACACAAACATCCAGTCAAGTAAAGTTTCAAACCTGAATAAAAGCAGATGTACATTTTGTTGGATCCCACAAAAATTCAACTGCATTGAGCTGGCTTGGATTTGTCTTGATATCAATGACTCCAACAGACATTGGAATATCTACATTAAAATAAGTAGTATATATTTTAAAATAATCATATTCCAAGAAAGCACTAGAAATAGATTTTAACATAAGGTTACCATCAGCAAACACGGGTAGGGTGAAAAAAGGTGGGCTTTGGTGGCTTGACCATAAGCCCATAAACAGTTTCTCAGGACTAACCTGAAGAAACTTAGTAGACTCAACATACAAAGTGGTCAGGGTTTGGGGATGTTTTTTGATTCCCCATCCCCTCCCACACCCCCCAGCTTACGCAACAAAAATTATAAAGTTACACAAAATAAAGAAACCATGTTGGTGTCATTTCCGCAATCTACTAGAGAAAGTTATTTTGTCTATGTTCTCCTAATTACTGTAACATTTAGTAATCAAAATTAAGAAGATCACTAAATGTATAAGATTGCAGAGTTGCTATCTTACTTCTGTAGCACTTACAGGTTTTAAAGTAATGTGAAAGTAGTAAGAACATTTATATTGAATATACACACTAGACAAAGCAGCACACAGAAAACTGCTCTGCGTTTTTTTCACCAGCCCTAGCATAAATGTGACCCTGATCAATTTAAATTTGCAAATTGAATTTCATACAGTGCCAACAGAGAAAAAACCAATTATACCTAAGTCAAGAAGCCTGTCCCCAGGGCGGTTCCACTTCCAACCTTCTAGCTGCTGGTGTTCTGTATATTGCAACCTTCTGTCATGGAACACAACTCTTATAATACTCTAACAAAGAAGAAAACAAGCATCTGATGAGCCACAAAGTTACTATACGTTTAGAAACTGCCTTAAGATAAAGCACTAGAACATCCCAGAATAGCCACAGTGCTGATAACCACGTATTTACAGCAAAAAATTTGGCAATCATCAGTATCCCAAAATGTTCCAGAACACAGAAATAGAACTGAGCAGCAGGAGATATTCGAAAACGTGGTAAAAATGCAAGAGAGAGTTACATCTGATTGTATATTCTAAATGGCACTATGAATTACATGCAGTGAGCTGAGCAACACTAACAGCACAGTATCAACACTGTGTAGGCAACACAAACGTATTTTAGAGAACAAGCACAAAAGACGTCATTTATTCTGAAAAGCGATGAATATAGTTTGACCATTTTTTTCATTGGGAATGTTTTGAATTTTTGTAGACAATTTTAAGAACTAAAATTAATAGAAAAATCCCTTCCAAGTATTTATAAACATATTTACAACAAATCTATGATTTTAATAGTAAGAATAAACAACTTCCAAACTATTCCAACTGTTCTAGCTGAAATATTAATCTAAAAATACTATGATGCAATTAACTTTATTCAGCTAGAAGCAATTAGCCAACAGTACCTATTTTTGTGACCAATTCTGCTACAACTGTGCTCTTAGTCAGATTAAAGAAACATTTCTATTCTGCTGCATCAATGCACATACAAAGCAATTTGTTATACAGAGGGGAAAAAAACCTGTATACATGAATTGCTACTGGACAAACACAATGTAGACAAACTTTTTAAAGTTTCATTTTTTCCCATTGGCCCACAGTCTTACTTGTATTAACAGTGGATAAAAGTATTCAAAAAAACCCGAAGAACTTTTAAATGAAGTGCATCCTCCAGATACATTGCGTTTCCTTGGTTTTATTCCAAAGATAACAGAAAGCACATGTGTGCACACACACACGTACAAACATACCACTCCTTTTTCACTGCAAACTGGCAAGTTTGGAAGTTGGAAATATCTGCAGCCACCTTCACCAACATGAAATGTCTTCTTTGTTGAAATACTGGGATTCCAGTATTTAAGTGTCCGAAATGGAAAATTTGTTGCTGCGGCATTACAATGCCTTGCTATGGTAAAATTTACTTTTTTGAACTTTTACACCGCTTTGTCCTATTTTACCTACCAAATGGCTCATCACCAATATAGGAACCTATAAAATTACAGCAGAGAGATTCCCCAAAGCTACAAGGAAGGAGCACCTAAGGGGGCAAAATAGTCAACACGCTTATTACAGCAAGTCAACAAGCCAAGCTGTAAAAGATTTAATTACAGAACTCGCAAATCCCAGTTTTATGCTTGTGCTGCAATTATCTCTGAAACAAACTTCCTGAAATTATCTCTGAACAAGCATCCCACAGACAAATAAGAACAAGGCACAGGACTACACAAGGCAGACAAAGTTCACAAATTATATAGCCCAAAGTTGACAGGTAAAGACTCAGCCTCCCATGGGCACACTGTTACGGGGCACTTATCAGTACCACTGTCAAAGTGACTTTAATTGAAGTTTTTCCCTTCTTTCCTACTACCTGAATAAGATTTTTCAGAGAATTTAGATGCTTATAACAAAAATCCAAACCCTTCCCCTTCACCAGTTCTTTTAATAATTTGTACCATGAATTGGGCATTTTTCAGTCTGCCCCATTCTTATACTTGTATCAATACCTCAGATCCACAGTACCTTCTGTTAACATTGAAGCACAAGGAGACAAATCTGGAATTAGGAAAAGGAGCTCAGCTGTGGAACAAACTGCTCAATGAGCAGCAAAATTAGAGATCTGTTTTCCTATGGATATAGCTCCAATATCCCACTGTTGCAAAAAGCACAGGTTGGCTCCATGTGTCTTCCATAACACCTATTAAGAAACATCCTCATAATACCTCCACTTCTTTCTAAATGATCCTCTAGCCTCCTTCCACATCTCCTAATCACTTGAAATGGACAAGGAAATGGCTCAGAAGATGTTGGATACGAAACTATAGACAACTAGGTATCTTAATCTTTGCATAAAATAATTTGGTCTTCAGTACATACAAGTACTCTATGCATCAGGTATTCATATTCATACTTCTTTTTTTAAATATCACTGGTCTACATTCATTCTGAACAAGTATCTAGTGACAGCAGGAAAAAAAAAAAATCCATAAAATGTACAGTCTCTAAATTGGATTTCTCTCACCTGACTTTAGATACCTAAATTTGAGATCACTGTTACCACAGCTTCCTTTTACTCAGCAGAAAGACATCGGCACATTTAGTGGAGATTCATCTAATCTTAAATCAGACTGCAGATCTCATAAAGGGTACCTGAAGTGATGAGCTCACTTTTACCTATCTGAAGTTACATGAAACTAACCCATTCATAAATGGGGAAATGCATACATGTATATTCTTTTAATTTGTAGTAAACCTGAAACAACAAAACTAGGCATTAGGTTCCCCTGTGCCTATTTTCTTTATTGGTCAGATCAGCTGGTCCACCATCCTCCGTGAATCAGAGTACAATAAAAAGTTAAGAACTACTCTTTTCATATGCAATCAGCAGAGGTTTGTTAGTAACACTATCTAGAGAACTTCAATTCACCTTCACCAGTTTTCCATTGATCTCTGGTATGTCTCCAGCTTTCCGATTATCTAGCATCCGTATTTCATAGGACTGACCTTTAAAAAGAAAAAAGTTTGTATCAGTAGAAGAGTTAGAGCACAAAGTTATTTTGTCTTTAATGCACCTGAATTAGCTTTTGTTCACAGTACACGAGAACAGTAACCGAAACTTGTGTTTAAGAGATTTTTATAACAAGGTTCACTTCACAACACAGGAATTAGGGCAACAAAGTGGAACTTCTTGGTCCTTTTAAAACTATGGATACTTTCAAAGTTTAAAGTATTTCATTTTACATGCAGTGTAAGTACTCGTTTCTCTATTTTTTTCCGAAGAAAAACTTACCTTCAAAGCTGAATTCCTTTATTTTTGAAACTGATGAAAGGCAATACACTGAGAACCACAGACTGGTCTTCTGAAACTAACTCCCGCAAAGAGTTTTTATACTCTTCAAACAAAATACATAGTATTCTCCCATGTTTCATTTTGCCCATGTACCTGTTGCTTTTGTATGATTTGCAGGCTTTGTATTATTTCCGAAGTAAGCCTTTAAAAGAGCTAGTTACTGGTTATTTCAAACAGGTATGAGTGAACCTATGCTTCTAATGAATTTGATGAACTGTTATGCTTCATAAGAGAGAAAGTTAGAAGTAATTCATTTGAACTATGGGGATTTTTTTCTTCTAAGGTGAGCAGCATGTATTCATTTGCAAAAATGAATTTCTAAAATACAAGACAAAATAGATTATTAAAATATAGGACAAAACAGATTTCAAGACGTTCACTAAGATCAAGTGCAGTAAACTCGTTACCTTCTACATTACCCTCCAAACTACCTTTACGCTCTAGTGTTTACTACATTTAAAAGACATTTATTGGCTTGCCCTACAAGGTAAAGGCTCAGCTGTTATACCCCCGTGAACAAGCAAACGATTTCTTCAACTCCTTTCACTGCTCCATAGACTGATGTTACCCTCAACTATGGACTGTTTGGCATTTTTTTGCTGTAACACCATTAGCACATTTATGTATATACTCTACACATGTACAGGCTTTCTTTACTCCAGCAGCACTTGATTGTCGATGACAGAAATCTATATGAAAACTAAATGTACCTAGTGCAGCTGAGTAAAGCAACAGATCGTTTCTCCTCCTATATTTAACAGGAGGGAATTTTTTTTCCTGTTAATGAGATTTGTTCAATTACCAGTGTTATTTTGCTCACATAGAGATCTAACACATGTAAGTCCATTTGCATTTATAGACAGCATCAGGTTTGGTTTTTTTTAATCTAGCACTATTAATAAAACTTTTGCTAATATTTCCCTGTTCTCTTTGACTATTATTTTGAAAGGCGGGAGCGGGGAGAAAAAAAAATTTTTGATTGCTTGCTCAACAAGTGTAGCTAACCTTTTACAGGTACAAAATAATACTATAAGACTAAAGATTTGATGAAAGTAAAAATCAAAGAATGCCAGGCTCAAAAATGCAAAAATAGCATGGGGAGTTTTCAAAACAAAGGGACAGATAAGTTTCATTCTGGATTTTTGGACATGTAGCTGCTCTGAAAGTATAAAGAGCCTCACAGCACTGATCGTAGTAATCTCTATAGGAGAGCCATAGATACCACTTTCTCTGCTGTTTCCTGAAGAGCGGCCACAGGAGCAAGGCTAGGAACTTTAACTGCCCACTGCTTAACACTGAAACAAGAGTACCCACCTTCACAAAAATCACAGAATGGTTGAGGTTGGAAGGGACCTCTGGAGGTCATCTTGTCCAACCCCCCTGCTCAAGCAGAGCCACCTGGAGCCGGTTGCCCAGGACCAAGTCCAGGCTGCTTCTGAGTATCTCAAGGATGCTCATCCAGCCCATACTTCATTAGGTTCTCTATGAGGATCTTATGGGAGAAAATAGCAAAAGCCTTATTGAAGACAATGACTTGTGGACAATATCCACTGCTCTCCCCTTGTCTACAAGCCAGCCATTTCATCATAGAAGTTTATCAAGTTGGTCAAGCATGACTTCCCCATGGTGAATCCATGCGGACTACTCCTGATGACCTTCGTGTCCTTCATATGCCTGGAAATGGTTCCCAGGATTAGTTACTCCATCACCTTCCCAGGGATGGAGGTGAGGCTGACCAGCCTGTAGTTCCCTGGGTCCTCCTCTTTGCCTTTTTTGAAGATCAGAGCAACGTTTGCTTTCCTCCAGTCCTCATGCACCTCTCCTAGTCACCATGATCATTCAAAGACTATTGAGTAGCCTCGCAATGACATCTACCAGCTCCCTCAGCCCTTGTGGGTGCATCCCATGAGGGCCCATGGATTTATGTATGCCCAGTTTGCTTAAGTATTCCCTGATGTGTTCCTCTTCCACCAAGGGTACATATACCTTGCTCCAGTCTTTCCCCCGATCTCTAGGGCCTGGGATTCCTGAAGGCCAGTGTTGCTAATCAAGAACGAGGCAAAAAAGGCATTTAATCCCTCAGCTTTTTTCATGTCCTGTGCCACCAGGGCCCCTGCCCCATTCAGCAGCGGCCCCACATCTTCTCGTCTTCCTTTTGCCACTTATGTACTTTCAGATGCCCATCTTGTTGTCTTTGACATTCCTTGCCAGATCCAACTCATGGGCTTTAGCTTTCCTGACTGCATCTCTGCATGCTCACACAGTGTCTCTGTATTTCTCCCAGGTTATCTGTCCCTGCTTCCACCTTCTGTAAGCCTCCTTTTTGTGTTTGAGTTTTGCCAGGAGCTCCTTGCTCATCCATGCAGGCCTCCTGGGATTTTTGCCTGACTTGCTGCTCATTGGGATCCACTGCTCTTGGGGCTGGAGGAGGTGATCATTGAATATTAACCAGCTTTCTTGGGCCCCTCTTCCCCCCGGGGCCTTATCCCATGGGACTCTACCACGAGGATCATTGAAGAGGCCAGAGTCTGCTCTCCTGAAGTCCAGTGATGTGATCTTTCTTTCTGCCCTACTTCCTCCTCTCAGGATCCTGAACTCTACCATCTAATGGTCACGGCAGCCAAGGCTGCCTTCGACCTTCACATCCCCAATGAGCCCTTCCTTGTTGTATGAGGTATAGCAGAGCACCTCTCCTTGTTGGCTCCTCTATCGCTTGGGTCAGGAAGCTGTCATCAATGCTCTCCAGGAACCTCCCGGATTGTTCATGCCCTGCTGTATCGTCCCTCCAGCAGACATCAGGATGGCTGAAGTCCCCCTATGAGGACCACAGCCTGTGAACATGAGGCTACTTCTCTAGCTCTTTGTATAAGGCCTCATCTTCTTCCTGGTCAGGGGGCAGACACCCACTACAATGTCACCCATATTGTTCTGCTCTTTAATCCTTACCCATAAGCTCTTAGTTGGCGCATCCATCCCTAGGCAGAGCTCCAGGCATTCTAGCTGTTCTCCCACATAAAGGGCAACTCCCCCTTCCTTATCTTCTTGTCCTGCCTTTCCAGTATCCCTCCACTGCAACATTCCACTCATGCAAGCCATCTCATCATGTCTCCATGATCCCAGCAAGATCATAGCGCTACAATTGCACACAGATGTGTAATTCCTTGTGTTTACTTCCCATGCTGCTTGCATTAACGCACATGCACTTCCGAGAGGCACCCCACCATGCTGATTTCCCAGAAAGGGTTTTGGGGTTTCCCCATAATGGTGCTCTATAGGCACTTCCTTGTTTACATCCAAATGTTGGAGGTGACCCTGTTTAAGCCCCCTCTTGTTGATTTTGTGTTCCCTTTCAGGCACATCACTCCAGGCCCTTTGCCCTCTCACAGTGCTGCTGGTAACTCTCTCCCTCCCCTGTCCTTCCTGCTTCAAAGCCCTCCATACCAGGTCAGCCATCCTGCTGGAAAAGGTACCTTTGCCCCCCACCCCTTACTGAGGTGGATCCCAGGTCTCCCAAGCAGTCCTTTGCATTCACAGAACTACAAGCCTAGCTGCACTGTGTAAACCGACCTAAAGAACGCCTCCCCTTTAAAAGCAATTCTCTTCCATACCACTTCTGCTATTCGATATACATCTAGCTGAACAGCAGCCAACTCAAAACACTGCCCTACAACTCTGATACGCATTCTCAGTGGACTCATTTAACAGATTTTACAGTTAGCAAACCCCTGAATAACCAACCATCATCAGTCCAAGATTTGAACTTCTAGAATCAGCTTCAGCTGAAAACCTAATCACTTTAAATATTCCATCAGCTCATAGAATCATAGAATAACTCAAGTTGGAAGGGACCCATAAGGATCAAGTCCAACTCTGTGTTCCGCACAGGACTATCCAGAACTAAATCATGTGACTAAGATCATCATCCAGACACTCCTTGAACTCTGAACGATGCTCTTAGCTATGCCAATTAAAACACTTACTGACAGAGGGTAAAGTCAGGGCTTGCTTAAGTATTGCCTTAGGAAATGTCACCATAGCTTAACAGACAGGGCAAATGTCCCCGTTGCTTCTGGTATTCCCAAACCAGTAAACTAAGACAACTGCTGATGAAATTAGAGAGGGTATTTGCTTTCTATGGTACTGCCTATTCACAATCCTCTTGAAAATGATTTAAGGCAAGACGCTGCCTGGTAATGGAGCCAAACTAGAAACCAGATAACTGAAGTCACCAGGATTAAAATGACTCTTTTTCTAGAGGACTTAATCCAACTCATTACACAAACACATGTGCCAGTACAGCTCAGTGTTGCAAACTGATCCTTATTCTAAGATGGCTCCGGTATGAAAGATGTAATCTCTCGAGACTATTCAAAGTTGGCGGGTTTTTTTTTTGATATATATATATATACACTAACAGCTAGTAAAGAGGTTTTTTAGGAAAAAGTCTTAACCTAGGCAGCAAACGTACTGTCTTTCTGTCTAAACTATTAGCATAGAAGGGAAGTTGGCCACCTGGGTTTTTTTTTTTGCATATTTATTTAGAAAAAAGGCTATACCAATGCCTTCATTTTTCAACATCAGGTAAGTTACCTAGGACACTGAAAAACAGCAAAACTGCTTTGCAAAAGAAATCTTTACATTAAGAGATTTTCAAAGGCAGATTAAACATTTACAGTCATTTCAGACACTGTCACTTAAATGGCAAGCTCTTCTCAAAGGCGAGATAGCAAACGCTTTCTTCCTTCAGCTTGCTGCCTTGTGCTGGTTCCCCAGCTGATCTTCAAGCTTTGTGCTTGGTCAGGGAGGCTGGATCCTGGCACTGAAGAAAACAAAGTGTATTTCTACAGAGTTTAAAGTTTATAAAACTTTGAAGTTTTTTAAACAGTGCAAAGCATCTTGCTGGTCCAGAATACTGCTGCAATTGTACTGTTTTCTGCTGAAGAGAACACTCAGGGTACAAAAAGTGATAATAAATAAAGTACACCTGACTAAGCAAATGGCTGAACTATGCAATCACATGTTTGTAAGAAACTACAAATCGCCTAAAGAACTTCCATTATTCTCCTTACTAGAAAAGTCAAGTAATGTTTAAAACATATTTAGAAAGGCTGGGTACTGCAAGATGAAACACTTAGCAACTTTATTCACACAGAAAGCTGAAAATGATGCTTTGTCATCATGTCAGTATCAAATTAGATACAATCTGCTCTCACAGATTTTAGGGCCCCAGTACAAAGTCAAACACCTCCAGGTATGAAATGCATCACCAGAAGTTCACACTACTAGAAGCATTTCAACTTGAGTAAAACGGATACCTTATCAAGAAAATACACATGTAAAATACACAAATTCTGCAACCTAGTAAAGCAATTAGTAAGTTAAATAGCTCACAAAGATCAAGGAAAATTCACCAATATGTATTTTAAATTATGTCCTCTTAACTACACACTAAAGTAGTACACTGCTCAGAGAAGCACACGAGCTAAGAAGATTAATTGTACCAAAACATGGTAGGATATGGAAAACAAATGGTGAATGTATTTTTTAATTCACAGAATCATAGAATACCAGGTTGGAAGGGACCTCAAGGATCATCTGGTCCAACCTTTCTAGACAAGAGCACAGTCTAGACAAGATGGCCCAGCACCCTGTCCAGCTGAGTCTTGAACGTGTTCAGTGTAGTGGAGTCAACCACTTCCCTAGGGAGATTATTCCAATGACTGACTGTTCTCATTGTGAAAAATTT